TTCCCTACAATGGAGTATTAGAAGGTCCTTGGCAAGGAGGGCTCTAATGTTATCACACATTTACAGCCCATTTGTCTGATTTATAAGTCCAAACAGCCATTTAAAAATTCCAAATCAGGCTTTGTCAGGTGGCTCCACTCTTTTATCATCTACAAATCAAACTGGTATGTTTAAAACCATAAATACCGAATGACTTCTGTGTACAGCCTCAAAGCAGGTGTCTGAGCCTCGCCAGTATCGGGTCATGCTGTTGGGATATTTATAAGCAGCAGAGCCTGAAACTGGGCCCACTTCCGGCTTCCTTCAGCCAGGATTGAACTTTTCCTGTAACATTTCAGGTCTATCTCCCAAATATAAACAAGATGTCAATGCAAGCCGTATTGGATTATCTCTATACCAAGCAGTTGTCACCAAACTTGGACCTGGACCCACTGGAATTGATTGCCTTGGCGAACAGATTTTGCCTGCCACACTTGGTTGCGCTTGCAGGTAAGACTGATGACTCAGGGCCATGCAGTATCTGACTGTCATATTTATCAAAATCACATTTAAACAAAAATAAGATTTCTAGGGAATGAACATTATTTTTTTATCACCGAAAATTGGCCTGTCTTCTACAGGGTGACATGAACTCATCAAATGCATCAGAATTCCCAACTCAATTCAGCAGATACTTCTTAGATGCCCACTTTGTGGTAGGCCCCTGAGGAGACAGAAATTTAAAGATGAGGAAAGCATGACCTCTACCCTCTAGGCACACACGCTAGGTATGCTGAATCATTTGTGGCCTCACAATTCAAAATAAAGCTGTCAGCATTATCCCCATAATGTGTGCACAGACAGTCTTTAAGAAAAAGGCAGTAGACACAGTGGTTAAGAACAGGCTAGAGAGCCAGATTGCTTAGGTTCAAATCCCGGCTCCACCGTGGTCTGGCTGGATGACTGCCCTTTTCTTAGCCTTGGCTCTGCGTCTCTGCTTTTCCTCTCTTTATAATATTATTCTGCCATAAAGTTGTTATGAAGATGAAATGAGTTGAAATATATAAAGTCCTCAGAACAGTGTCTGGCACATAGTAAGCATTATGTAAGTGGTTTTCTTAAAGCTATTTTAGAAAATGTTCTGACATTGTCAAGTTCATTTTAGGAGAAAGAGAAAAAGGGAGACTTGGCTTAACTTCACAAAATTCCATGTATTATTTCTAGATTTGTTCAGTTGGTAGGCTGAAACAGGTCTATATAGGACATATGCATTTAAATAACATTTTTCTTACATTGAAACCTTCCGCTTCATTCATCTTGAGCAGTCTGGGTTTCAGCACTCTATTTAGTTGGCTCTTATTAAGCATGAAAGCAGAGACAGACAGTACCTGTCTTATTCACTGGCCTTCCCTTGCACACAGGAAAGTGCCTGAGCGTATTCGCTTCGCAATAATTATCTCTTGAAGAGTTGAGTGAAGATGAACGTATAAACAAACCAACCAGTCCTGTCTTTCTTCACTTCTTGGCAGTATTTTGAGACAGAAGATTAAATTCTCTGTCCTCCAGGTTCCTATTACACACAGCCAACCAGAGATCAAAGTCCTCTCTTCACCCTATTTCCTCCCCAATTAGATAAAAAGAGAGTGGAAGCGTTGCTATTAGTTTGTTTCATGTATGTGTTTTTTTAAACTCTTAGCCAATATACCTGAAGTCATAGACCCAAATGAGTGTACCACTTATTAAATACTAACTCCGGGAGGTCGCAGAGGGCAATTTCTTTTCTTTCCCTTTTTTTTTTTTTCCAGAAATATGAGTTTTGATCCATTTAGCTATCCACGGGTTTTTCAAGCATTTGTCCTTCAAGGATAAATTTGATTTTTTTTTTTTTTGAAATGGTCAAAAGTAATTTGGGACCAAATCTGTCAAATGAGTTTTATGATCAGTCTCAGAGCAGTGCTGTTTTTGCTTCGATATTAAGTTTGGCAGTGAAAACCTGGGATTGATCTTTTTCCAAGAAAGTTTTCTTTTTTTTTTTTTTCTTTCTAACTGACCCAGAGAAAGTTTCTCATTTGAACTTTAGAGTGCTACATACATATGGTTTTGTTATTAAATTCTGTTATTACTGTTAATGATTATTTAACGTGCACCTTCCCAAGACAATTCCTTTAATCATTTATAGTATTTGGTACCTCTTGTCTAAAGCATAGACCTTTTAGAACGTGGTGTTTAAGAATCTGTGTCTGGGGTGAAAATGCTTTGCAAGCCAGTGTTAAATGAACATGAAGAGATGTTGAAGAGATGTTGCAATTACTTCTTCTTTTTTTTTTTTTTTTTTTTTTTGAGAGGTTTTTGCTATCAGGCACATGTGCTCACTGGAAAGACAGAGACAGAGAGACAGAAAGCGAGAAATCACCCCCGAGAGGAGATGGCCACGCCACAATCCTTTCTCCTCTATTCTCCTCTCAGGATCTTGGGCACGTGCGCACATGCACCCGGCATGAGTTTAAGCCACCGGGTCCAGAACTTGAACCGCGGTTGACTACATGGGATTCCAGCGACATAGCCATTACACTAACTGCTGGTCCCAACAATTACTTAAAATGAAAGAGCCCAGGTGACTTCTCAGAGAAATTTCATTTGAAGTAGTTCTGGGTTTGTCAATCCAGTTTAGAAAGGTGGTGCCAAAGAAAATACACAGCTCCAGATACCAGTGACTGGCTCTAGGCAGGCTGACTACCCAGCATCACAGCAAGAGCAGAAAGTGAGCATGACGTGCACACTGAACTGGCTTAGAAGAACAGATGCCATGCGAGAGATGACTGCAACGTCAAAGAGCTAGAAGTGCTGGCCCAAGACTGTTGCCATGCATGTCAATTCCAGAGGCAGGTAACTGTTCGAGCCGAGGCAGAGACAGCGCAGTCTCAGAACCACGGTTAAAATCCAGCTTAGAAGCCTTGGACACAGTCCCCAAGCAGAAATGGCCCTGCCAACTGGATCCTTGCTACTTCGGGCTGAAGGTCTCCCTGGCCTTTAGAATCTGAGAGGCCATCTGGAGCTGTAGAGACAGACATATGCATTCACGTTTTTATTTTTCCAAATAAACTTATTACTCAGTCTCCCCATTGTCAGAGGTTACGGAGAACTGGAGCCATGAGAATGGGGAAACTGCCAAACAGGAACATAGCTAGACTCTAAAGGATGCTAGGGAGGTGCCAGACTGTCTAAAGCCACACTGTCCAGAACTTTCTGCACTAATGGAAGCATTCTCTACCCTCACTGTCCAGGACAGTGGCCCCACGTGGCTGTTAAGCATCTAATGTGGCTAATGTGATGAAAAAACTGAACTTACTGTTTTATTTCATTTTAATGCATTTAAGTTGAAATAGCCTCATGTCACTAGTGGTTACCATTCAGACAGGAGAATGTGGGTCTGGTGGATTTGAACTCTTTCAGAAGCATGAACAAGGGTCCCCAGAGATGTTGGCACAGTGGCTGAAGACCAGACACCCAAAGGCCACACATCAGAATGCACTCTAGATTTGATGCAGATGGCTGCCCAGAGCTGTGTTCCATACTTCCTCCCTTCTTACCAGCCCCCCAGAGGAAACACCTGGCATATAGAGACACTCTAACGTTCTCCTGCCCCCTCTCCTCTCCAGAGCAGCATGCCGTTCAGGAGCTGACCAAGGCTGCCATGAGTGGCGTGAGCATTGACGGGGAAGTGCTCTCGTACTTGGAACTGGCCCAGGTTTGTAACAGTTCACTTTTCACCTTTTCAGTGTGTTCAACCAGTTCATTTAATGCTGATAAAACATTCCCCTGTTGCATCTGTCTAAATAAAGATGTCACCACTGAGTCACAGAGGCCCCCTGCATGCACTGAGAAGATCTAAGAGTTTTACATTTCATGCACCATCAGCCTGCTGGGCCTCATTTGAAAAAACAAGGACCCCCACCCCCAGACTAGTCCCTTGTCCCCTAGGGCACTGGCTTCTCATGTAAGAACCACTTCGGGCATGATAGAGAGAAATTGTGTCTTTCCTCCTCATGATTCTTGGATGTGTATTTGGCCAAGAAAAATTTTCCATGAAGTTCTTAATACCCTCTAGTTAATGAATATCTCACTGCAGCTTTCTTGAAGTTTTCTAAAATCAGTATTTGTTAATATTGACATTGTAATTCTATAATCCCAATACAATACAATTCACACTTCTTCCAGAGAAGGCCCAAAACACACTGGATGACTTCAAGGCACAAAACTAGACTGTGCCTCAGTTTCCTCATCCATAAGAAATGGGAATGGTAGGTCTGGTCTTGTGGACTAGTGGTTAGGGGAGCTGAATCCCACATGGACAGCCACAGTTTGAATCTGGTTCCCAGAAGCTTGAAAAACACACCTGGTGGATGTGCACACATGCCCCAGATCTCAATAAGAAATGGAGAAAAGATTGATGCCCCATTATGGAGTACTCTGTCTCTCTCTCTCTTGCAAGTGCTTGTACTCTCTGACAATTAAGAAAAGAAAGAAAGAAATAAGAAATGGGAATGATAATTCACATATTACCAACCCTACGGAGTATTTTGAGAATCAAGTGGGAGAAGTTGAGGAGTGAACACTGAAGAGTGTAGGTCCTCTCACAGTGCAAGGCGCGGACGTGGGATGGTCTAGTCCCTGGCCTAGGTTGGCGAACAATGAGTTTACACTCTCAGGGCAGTAAGAATAAATGTTCCAGTCTTTTCTTCAACCTTTGGAATATGGCTTTCTTTGTTCCCTCTCTCAGGGTCATGGTATACTGAGCCGGTTAAAATCGGTATTTCTCAATCAAGGACAGGAGATAGTTTCAGGCTGAGGATGGGGGCAAAGGCAGGTGCTGCTCGTGTGTTTCACCTGTGGTCAGAGGAGATAGCTCGGGTTTGGAAGCGGGGATGGTGGAATACAGTCTTACAGCAACTCTTCGTTCTGCCTCAACATTCAACTAGTACTTGTTCTTTTCTCCCGAGTACCCGGCACCACACCAGGCAGAGGATATGTCTGTACAAACAGTAGGTTCTCTGCCCTCAAGGTAATCATACGCAAGTGAGAAGGACACAAACACAAATTATTCAAATCCAACATGAAGGACAATCTAATGGAAGTTACAGTGAAAACTTAGAACAGGAAGCCCCCAGTTGTCTGGGCCAACCCCGTAACACAGTGGCTAAATGTTGTACTTAGAAAGCCAGATCCCACATAGCCAGTCATTGTTTGGCTAGCCTCAGGACTTGAAAAACATGCTGGGTGCATGTGTGTGCATGCTTAAAATCCCAAGAGGATGGAGAATAGAGGAGGAGGGATTGCAGCATGACCACACCTCATTAGGGGGTGCTTTCTTCCTCTCTCTCGCTCTCTCTCTCTCTGATGAGCACACACCTCCTCTGGCAATTAAAAAACACTAAAATTTACACATTTAAAAAAAATGGTTGTCCACACTTGGAATGTGGGGTCTTTTGATACAGATTTTGGGGACAGTTTATGACTTGGGCTCTTTCCAGTAAATATTCCTTCTAGAGAAAAACATGAAATGACCCAAATTCCATATAATGACCATTTGCTTGAGTTTATGATTTGCAGTTGTCTATTTATCTGCTCTGTATTCCCACCCCATACTCTCCCTCCACCCAGTCCACACAGACACACACACACACACACACACACACACACACACACAAATACACACATACCCCCACCTTGCTAGAAAATAGTATGATTATTGATAAGCCCTGACAAGCCATACAGGAGGTGTTTAGTATGAGATGTCCCAGGTCTTAGACCCTAACCCTGTGATGTGCTCTAAAAAGTTCACGTAAAATGTGTATTGGGGGGGGGAGGGGGGAGGAAGCATCAGTTAAAAAATTTTTGCATTAAAATAAACTTGTATTTTAATTCCATTTTCCTCCAAGCTTTTGAAATACCCTTGTATTTAACAGCTTAGGGGCAGGTGAGACCCTGGTATGTTGCATTTTCAGCCTCAATGGTGTATATACTTCCACCACGACCGATTTTAGCAACGCGAAGCCCCTGAACTCAGAGTAGGGACAAACTGCACACAGTCAGCTCTCTTGAGCTGGTGCAGGCAACCTGGCACACCACTACCCCGATCTTATTTTCAGATAGAAGGCTCTCGAACTTTAAAGCACCAGCTCAAGTTGTCCCTGATGTTTGGGGCTGTGATTTGGAGTGTGTGGAGTGGGTTCCTGAGGAGTTGACATTTCTATGTGCTTTCATGGCTGTGGGTCCCAGGGTTTCACTTGACCCAGGACATATCAAAAGCAACAAAGGAAGGATGTCTGAGAAGGGCATGGGCAGAGAGAGTGAGGGAGTGGCCGTTCTGCCAGGCCCCAGAAGAGAATGGCTGTCAGTGTTGGGGCATCAGGTCTTTTCCAATCACAGCAACCTCAGCTACCACCTCCCTGCGCATGGGTTTGCATACCCCTGCCCTGCCCACCCACCTGCTCTTCTTATGTAACCGAAGGGCAGGCACAGGACAGTCACACATTCTGCAGTCTCCTCTTTCGGACCTTCGGTCCAAGCAAGCTGAGCTCTGACATGCGACCCAGAGTATCCCATGGCTGAGGCTTCCTTAAACAGAGATGACATCGCTGCTTTCTGCTGCTGGCTGGTGCCTTCCGGAGGCCACGGTCACTTACCACTCAGGGCCCAGGTGGCAGGAGCATACTTTAAACTTCTGATCGGATTCAGTGGTTACTTTTGGTGTACCTGTCAGGGGCTAGGGAGGGCTATGCCAAAAGCCTCACTTGGCTGGCATCAGAGCCATGGCCAAAGTCAAAATATACGAGGTCAAAACAAGAGGTTTGCTCAATAAGTTACGGGGCCCTTCATTTCTTTTCATCCCTACGGTGGCTTCCAATTTCTTTGCAGACCCTTTAGAAAGTAGAGTCAGACCAGCTGGTGGCGTGGTGGTTAAGGTGATTAGAGTCCCTGTGGTGAACTGCATGGTTAGAATTCCCAGACCCAGTCATTTGAGAAATAGGCTGGGCATGTGGGTGCACCAAATCTTGAAAGAAGGGAATTGGAGGAGAAGGTATTGCTGTGTGACCATCCCCCATGGGGGGGTACTTCCTCACTTTTACTCCGTGTGTGTGTGTGTGTGTGTGTGTGTGTGTCTAAGTGTGTGCATGTGCCAACTGGTAAATTTTTTTTTTTTTAAGAATTATTTATTAGGATCAGCAGATGGTGTAATGCTTACATAGCAAGACTCCCAGGTAGTCGACCACAGTTTGAGTCCTGGACCCAGCGGCTTAAAACTCATGCCGGACATGTGTGAGTATACGCCCAAGATCCCAAGAGGAGAATGGAGGAGGTGGTGATTTCTCGCCTTCTGCCTATCTCTCTCTCTCTCTCTGTCTCTACATCGAGTGCATATGCCCAATAGCAAAAAAAAACAAAAAAAAAAAAAAAGTGACAAGAATAAAAAATTAAAAATATGGGCTTTTGATATTTTCTGCTATTGTTGGACATGTAACAAATTATCCCAAAATTAAACAACTTAAGACAACCATCATTTTACTATAGTCACCAATAATTAGAGCAGACTTCACCTGGGCAATTCTGTTTCTCATAGCTTCACTCATGATACTCAGCTAGTAGAGAGCTGATCTGTAGGTTCCAATACGGACTCATATGTCTGATACCTAGTGTGATAGCTAGAAATCTGGACTCAGCTCATGCTGTTGAGTATACATGGCTTCAGCAATATGGTGTTTTTCTTCTATTAAATTCTAGCTAAATTTTCTTTTTTTTCCGTTTTTTTTTCCCCCCTCAAGAGACAATGAGAGGAAAAGTGAGAAATTATACCCCCTCCCCCACAAGGGACATAGCTATGCTGCAACCGCTTCTTCTCCATTCTTCTCTTGGGATTTTGGGCAAACAAGCATGCAAACAGGCAAAGCTTCAAGCCTCCAGGTCCAGACTCCAACACAGCAGGTCATGGTGCACCACTCCCTTCCAGCACACTCCCCTCCAGCA